AGTACGTTCTAGAAACGATAAAACAAGAACCTTCCATAGCGAACAATTCGATGCTTCTACGCTTTCGTCTGCGAGCAGCCGACGGCTATATAAAGGCGACACTCAGCTGCAAGTGAAGTTAGTGATAAAGCGAACTCGTTGCCGTTAACATCAGTAAAGTCGTAAAGTAAACGCGTTGAAGATTACATTTAAGTAGAGTAAATTGTGAAAGTTGATGTTAGTGATTATAAATAGTAAAGTGTAGTATAATTGAATTGTGAATTACTGAGAAAATAAAGGACATTAGATTAATTCTTTATAACGAAAGAAACTGCAAATTGAGTTGGCGAGTTTTATTTAACAATCCAGAGATCGTACCCGAAGGATTTAGAAAATAATCGAGGTTGATTTAGTAAAATCGTAACAATACAGTACTAAGTCCCGCTACTGAGCAAGCGATGCCGTTATCGTTCAAATAAGTACAGCGATTATTAAAATCGTTGATCTCTTCGATCTAAAAATCGTCAAAACAATAATGAATCCCACTACTGGTTTCAATCTGTAAAAAAACATTTAGGAAAATCAAATATCGTTATAATCATCATTGAGTACATTCAAGTTTGTCCGAGGGTATTATTTGCATTAGTGGAAAAATCGTTTCTATTGTTTCTTTTATAATTGCATATAATTTATCTTCGAACATCAAACTATAAGCAATAATTATTTTACAATTCATCTATTACAATTTTACAAATACGACAAATATGCCGTTCTTGTGAATTCCCTAACAGTCAGATGTTTTATGTCGACGTAAACCTTTTCTTTATCAATTTTTAATTGGGAAAATGAATATCGGATTTCTAAATAATCTGTGATACAATGGAGCGAACCAAACGTGACCTAGAGACTTTAGTGTCTTCACAAAAGGAGCAGTTAGTTAGATACGAAAAGCGTTTAAAAGGTTTGAACATATATGTAGTAATGTGAAAAAGTTTCTAACTGAAGTAGTTTTTTTTAGATGTAGTCACCGCTTACAAAGGCCTACTAAAAGAAAAGGAAGCTCTCGAATCGTCTTTAGCTGCATTAACGTCTCCGAATGAAAAAAATAACGAAAAATCCGATGTTAATCATGTCCCTACCGGTCAGATGCCCGAAACTGCTAAGAGCTCTAAAAATGCCCTCGCTACAAATGTATCAGTAGAAACTGATTCAAGCAGTTTAGCGGATGAAAAACAACAAATGCAAACTCAAATTATGACGTTGATGAATTCACTTGCGACTTTATCAGCAGAAAAGTCTCGAATGGAAGCCTCCTTTCAAGCAGATAAAAAAGCTTTACGAAATCAGCTAACACTAAAGGATCAAAATATAGCTGATCTAAGAAAAGTTATTAAAGAAAATGAAGATAAAGCTAGAGTACATTTAGATGAAATGAAGGCTAAATTAATAATAGAGTGTCAGGAGCGTGAAAAAGAAACTAATAATCAGATGATTATGATACGAGAATTGCAAAAACTTTATGCTGATGAAAGACATCTAAAAGAAAATATTGAAATGCAATTAAATAACTTCAAAACACAATTTGCCAGTAGTGACAACGAAAATGCGCGAGTTCGTGACCTGCTAGCTCAACTTAACGAGTGTAAGGCACAGCTGAAGCAAATACAAGCTAACGGCATTGGAAAGCAAGAAGGTAATAGAAATATTGATGATTCAGTTGATAATATTGCAATAATAAGGCAAGTACAACAGCAAATGCAACAACTTAAGGAACAGCACGCCGTTGCTATAAAAAATGAAAAAGAAAGGGTATTACAAGCAGAAGAGTTAAGTCGCCGTCAAGCTGCATTACACGAGGATCGCGTTGCTAATTTAGAGGCACGCTTGGCCGAACTAAGCAATACTGTTGGAAATTATGATAGATTAAGACAGCAAGACCAAGAAAACATTCATACACTCCGAAAAAAACTGCAGGACCTTGAGCATAACTCGGAATCTTTGTCAAACTTCTCGAGTGTCAATATCACTAATCCCGAAAAACTGCATCGAAGGCTAAGCAACTCTAAACACGACATAACTACAATTGTTGATGAGATTCTTCGCTTGAAGAAGATTATTTTGGCAGAAAATTCTTGCAACACCAACCCTGTAGATTTAAGCAAAGTATTTTCTATTGTAGCAGATCACGAACAGTGTCACGAAGAATTAGCAAGTTTGCAACAACAATACAATTCTTGCAAGTCGGAAGTAATGCAGTATCAAGAGCGTTTGCAGGCCCAAAAAACTCATATAGCTACCCTACAAGAAAAGGTAAAGGTGCTGAATCGCAATATCGATGAACAAGAAATAGAGTTGAAAAATCAAGCAGAAAAGCTAAGACACGCAGTCAAGGAAGAACGTATTAAATGGAGAAATAAATTGAGTGAGTTGGAAAATGAGACCCGGTGCAAAGTTGTTGACTTGGAACAACAATTGCAAAAACAACGGCAGCGCTCCTTGCATCTGCTTGATGAAAAAGAACAAGAAATCAAAACTTTACAAACATCATTCGAGGTTTTCCATACTGCCACACTTCCGCCTATGCCAACTGATATACATTCTGAGCAGAATGTAACTTCAGCTTCTGATGCTGAAAGTAACGATGGAGTTGGTGCAGCATGTAGCCAGACACAGTCCACAGGTACGAAAATCTCAATTAAATCTAAGAAGTTGTCGGTAGGTGAAAACTGTCACATGTTACACTATGCCAATGAATTAGCCCGTAAGGACATCGAGATAGCTGGATTGCGCAAGACTAAATACTCCGCAGAGTCAGCACTGCGTAAAGCTATACAGGAGAAGGTGAATGCACAGGAGGAGCTTGGCGATAAAATTGCATTGCTGGAGGAGGAAGTGGACAGATTAGAACGTTGCAAAACTCGCGAAGGAGCCAATCTAGAGTATTTGAAAAACGTGATAATTAGTTTTATTGTAACGCGCGATCCCGATGGTAAACGTCATATGCTGAATGCTATTAGTGCTGTACTCCAGTTCACGCCGACTGAAATGCAGACAATTAATAATGCATTCCATAAAAAGTAAAATTCTTTGTTATATATTTTGTATACATACGTTTTATGTATATATATTAAATTTTACCAAAAAGGAATTTATTTAACAGTATCAACAACTGAAACAAGCAAAGTTTTAATAAATATTATAATGCACTTGAATTTGTATATTCTCACCAATTTATAAATAAAAGGATTTGGTGTTCATTGAAATCCATTAACAGGAAATTTTTCCAGATGTTCCTTCAATACGGAAGGAAATATTGAAAAAAATTTAAAACGTTTTCCCATTTGATTTGGATCAGTTAACATTTTGTAGCCACTTCTGATTATATCGTGATTCTCCGGCAATGCATTTGAAAGAAGTTGCTGCAATAGAAAATTTTGTCGATTAATAATTTACATATTGCCATTGCGAAAACAAAAACAATTGAGTTATTTTTTATTTTAATTTAATAGTTTATTGATATTAAGAAGATAAAAAGGAAACTACATATATCCTAAACAAATCTTAAATCAGTTACCTCAAGACGGGCGTCGCCTTCCATTTTCTTTAAAAAACTCCCTTGTTCGACAGGTCCAAAACATATCACCTTGCCGTTTTCCTCAGCAATCCGCTTGATTTGCCTAAAGTCTACATCTGCCGTGAGATCTGCCGTACCAGGAGCACATAACGGTTCATGTAACTGATGTTTTTTGAAAGCCTATAAAATGTAAAAGTAATATATTAATGCAGAGTAGTTAGCAGAAAATTTTAATATAAACAAATAATTTGATTTGTAGAAAAAAATACATACTTACTCTAAACGTATCACAGTTTTCGCCAAAATGACCATAATCCATTATTAACCCAATGCCACCTTCGCACTCAAAGCGGTCTGACATCATACTTATAAGACGATCTGTATCTAATGAATACTCGAGGGAATCTCGAGTCTCTTCAGGAATTGGCTGATAAAGATGTGAAACCGGCGTCGGTGCCTTAGAGATCACATACCGGAAAGGAAGACTTTTATTTTTATCAGTGGTATCGGCTTTATTAACATCTATTAAGATCTCTTTCCATTGCTTTCCATCGCGTTGCAACTTATGTACCGGCAATGCATCAAAGAATTCATGCGCCAAAACTATGGAGAATTTGCGTGGTACATCCTCCAATCTCTTATGCCAGTATATATTTATGCCTGACGCGGTTTTACCAGTTAAATAATGTGTTGAATTCTCATCATTTATCGTCTCTGTACTGAAACATAGACGTTGCGCTTGTACTTTGCTTAAATATGGGCTGATCTCGACCATATGAATGGAAAATTCTTTAGATAATTTAAATTGGGCTAGCACCTTAAGTACATCGCGTGCTAAGGTACCACGACCAGGTCCCAACTCAACAATTTGAAAAGGTGTTGGACTTCCCAATTTTCGCCACTCACTTACTACCCAAACAGCCACTAGCTATAAAATTTCTAATGCTATAATTTTACCAAGTTTAACAGCATAAAAACGAATGTTACCTCGCCGAAAATTTGGCATATTTCCGGTGATGTAATAAAATCCCCTTCGCGTCCAAAAACATCACGATTCATATAGTATCCACTTAATGGATTGGTAAGAATTTCGCGCATATATTCAGCAACGGTAATAGGCCCGGTTGCCAATATTTTCGCCTTCAAGTGTTTTGTTAGATCATTTGGTGCTTGTTTTTCCTCCATATGTTCTACTTGTGGAGCAGTTAATTTGCGCGATACAAATGCACTGTCTGGGCGGCGAACTGTTTTGTAGGAGTATTTTCGGCATAGTCTTAAATTATAACTCAAAACTACAGCTAAACTCTTAAAGGATACGTTACTTATCGCAAATGACATTTTGTAATTTTTCGTTTTTATGAAAATATTTGAGAAGGGAATTCACAAAAGCATAACTTTAATATATTATCCATAATTTCCGCATTTGTAGGATTGTAATAGACCACTTATATACGTCTACACAGGCAATTTATTTTATGACATATATGTCAGCACATCAGCATTTTAACTATGTAAAAAAGTCTACTCGCCTTTTAATAGAACCAGAATAATCTTTAACTAATGAAAATGCCCAGATGGCCAATAGCGAACCGTTCTTGATTTCAAAATTAAATAAATACATTCCAAAATTGTGATGGTCACACATTTTCAATTTTACACTTTTTTGTTTGCAATGAAATATATTAAAACTCTTTTACATTAGTATTGCTGATTTCTATTTCATATTTGTGTGTATGTTTTTTTCTGTGGAAAAGAGCATAGAAAATTTTAATGTTTTTTTGAAACTTTTTTTTCAAAATTTTTTCTAAAACGCTATTATAATAACATTAAATTCTTTAATCGATAATCGCCCTTGGCTTCCACAAGTATCGAGTTGCCAAAACGTTTGTTTGGTACAGAGAGTACGTTAGTGGTGCTTTATTTACAATTTGAAGATCAACAAACCAAGTGGCGCAAGATATTAGCAAGTGTTTAATATTAAAATAAGTTTTTAAAATGGGACAAGATGTTAGACTATGCAGACTTTGCGCAAAGTCCTGCGAAAATTCATCTTCAATACCACTTTTTGAAAGAAGTCAAAAAACTGTGATATTGAAGATTTTCCATGTTACTGGTATAAAGGTATGAAAATGCAAGTAAAAGTTAATATGAAGGTTTTGCATAAATGTGATTTTTTCTTAATCATTTAAGTTGAAGAATCTCAGCAAACTTCCAAACATCATGTGTGTAAGTTGCCAAATTCAGTTGGAGCGCGCTTATGAGTTTCGTGATTGTTGCATTACCGCGCAAAAGTACTTTTCAAGTTCAGAATATAAGAGGACTTCCTCTGATAAGTCTTCTAAAAAGGAGCAAGATTTTGAAATGATATTATCCGAGCAAGAGTTTGATTTAAAAGCGGAACTAGAGCCTTATTTTCTACAAGAACCTGAGACAACAGAATTGAAATTAGATATTCTACCACTTCCGAATGTCAAAACGGATTTGGAAAACGAGCCGGTAGCAGAAGTTGCACTTGAAGCAGCACCCTATGAAAACGACGTAGGCGAGATGAGAGGTCGGCCGAAAAAAAGTCCATCACACAAAATATTGCAACGAAATAAAAGAGGAGTGAAATATAAAAATACTTTGGAAAATGAAGAAACAACATTACGACCAGTAGACAATGTGCTTAAGCCCACGGATGTCGAGAACAATACCACACAAAATGAGAATATGAACCAAAATAGAAAAATTACAAAAGAGAGAAAGAATAAAGCAAGAACTTACATATGTGATCAATGTGGTAACCATTTTAAGTACCGTAGCCATTTTTATTCACACATTAAACGACATTCTGGTGTAAAACCTATACAATGCGAGTAAGTTGCAAGAGTAGCCAAATTTAGCAAACATACTGAACAAATTATTAATATCTCTTACAGAGTTTGCCCAAATAAGTTTTTTACTCAAGGTGAACTTAAGCGACATATGCGTAGACACACTGGAGAACGTCCATTTCCTTGCAAACATTGCCAACGTCGTTTCACAGATTATAGCACGCGAATAAAACATGAACGGTACGACAATTTCTATTCCTCTGATATATTGTTGTTTTAAATGTAGTTCAATTTCAGTACTCATACGAACGAGCGTCCATTCGAATGTTCACAGTGTGGAAAAGCGTTTACAACATCCTACGTTCTAAAAAATCACATGTTGGTACATACGGGAGAGCGTTCTTTCAAGTAATTAAATTGAATTTGAACATTAGATGGATTATATTTTAAACGTCAATATTTACAGATGTACGCTATGCAATAAATCATTTCAGCGGCAAACTCATTTGATAGTACACAATCGCTCGTTGGCTCATAAGCAAAACGTTGAACGTGAGCAGCAGATATTAGTGTAGTTAGTTATAGAGTAATAATTTTAAGGCCTATAGTTTCACCAATTTCTACGAAAGAAAAAACAAAAGCGCCATGAAAGATGTATTATCTCTGTAAAATAAGGATAATTAATTACTTATATACAATATGCTTTTATGATTTGATATAATTCGTTTTGTTTTGTATTTATCGGATAACTTACAAAATGATTTCTTATTTTCAATGCAAGTATTTAACGCTTATAAACACAAACAACCCCATTCATCTGCTTAGTTTTAAATCCAAATTTACATATTTTATTAATATACTACATCCTTACATTTATAGCATTACAAATTAAATATATATATATATATATATATGTATATATACATATGTATGTGATAAAATTGAAATTATTCTGCATTAATGTATACATCAGTGCTGTGACCGTCCGTTGATACTTCATCCACTTCACCGATATTTCTTCCGGTATTTCCAATTATATGAGTAATTTTTATATCAGAAATATTTTTGCCGAGTTGACGTTGTATTATGGTAGAAACAGGTATTTTTTCCACTTTAACGACTGAAGTGCTGACACTTCGAATTGATTGTTGATTCGTTACATGATCATTCGAGCGATCCTCTTGGAGCATATGTTGAGCCGTAAGATTTCTAACTGTTTGTTGATGTGTTATTGTTGCAATATGTTGATCCAATTGATGCTTACGTGAAAATGTCTTATTGCAAGGTATGCAACTGAAAATGATTTTTTTTTCGCACATATTATAAATAACGTATTAACATATGTATATATAATATATGTATATAAAGGTACTTACGGAAAGGGTTTTTCACCGGTGTGTGTTAACATATGATTTTTCAATACATTGGAGTAGGTAAACGATTTACCGCACGTCTGACAAGTGAATGGGCGCTCATTGGTATGAATTCTAAGTAGATGAAATTTAGTAAATTAAATAAAAACATTATTAAAGTTATAAAAAACCTTTCGTGTTTTATATTGGTGCTTCGATCCGCAAAAGTGCGACCACAGTATTTACATACGTATGGTTTTTCCCCCGTATGAACACGCATATGGCGTCCAATTTCCGATGGACATGCAAAAGTTTTACCACAGATTCTGGAAAAAAATATACGTATGTACATTATCTACTATACATATATGTATTAGCTTCATTCATATTTACTCGCATTCGAACGGCTTTTCAGCCATATGTCGACGCATATGCATTTTTAACAAATTACGTTTCGTGTATATGTTTCCGCAAATTTCGCACATTATACTCGCGGTATCTGCGTCGTCTTTTTTCTTTCTACCTCTGTTGGATTTCTTACCGCTAGGTAATTCTGATTTTAGAGTCATTCCCTCATGTTTTGATTTTGGCCGGCCTCGTTTACGGACAGAGTTTTCATTAGTTGTGGTTTCTTTTTTTAAGAATGTTGTTGCTAAAGGTTTTTTCATATCAGGTTTAGGTACTTCCTCATCAAAATATTCACTGTCTGTATATTCAATAAATTCCTCAGCGCTCTCTGTGTTTGGTTCCATATCGGATTCGAGTACCTCTTCTTCAACAGTTTCCGTTATATCCTCTAGGTGAACTTCTTGTGCATCAATAAATTCAGTATGCATGTCGAAAAACATATCATCGTCATTATCGACTTCATTCTTCGATTCAATTTGTGTGACTTCGTAATCCAGCGGCTCCGCTTTCATTTCGGACTAAGCAATAGGTAAAAAGTTAAGAAGATATCACCATTATATACTTCAATAAAATATATATTACTTTGACTATAGCATCAAGAAGTGCATGCTCACTCGCTTGGCACATAGATCGAAATTTATAAGACACATTCAGCTTTTCCAGACATGGGGTGCAAATCATTTTTGGAAATTCTTCATGCGCTTTTAACTGCGAAACAATAATAATATTTTTGTAAGTGCATTGTAATTAAAAATTATTATAAAATTGAAAAAACGACACTTACCACTATTCCACCACATACTTCTATACGCTGCACAATCTCTCCACAGGTATCATTGTCGGGCTCAAACAAAGGCTGCATTGTGCTTGTATTAATGTCCTCTGTAAGGCAAATCCGACATAAATCATATACATGCATCACGGCTCCAAAATAACGAAATTTGTTATCTTTGAGTTTATAGTAATTTAATAATTTATTTGTAATTTAATAACAAGAAGCAAAGTAAATATTTCTGTTGATCGATTGATAAAAGCGAAATGTCAATTATATGTGTGTCGTTAATATTTTGACAGCCAAATGTCTCAGAGAACGTATAACATAGAGAAGGTGCAAAGCCAGCGTTTCTGACATTTCAGGCAGAAAAATTTCGTTTCATGTAATCGTCATTTCCTTTTCGTCTTGATATTTTACTTTACCCCTTCCTTGAGGTGAATGTGAAATGTTAAACTTAACAGAGCTGAGAGCAAAAATTATTTTACAGACAGTCAATTTGTGCAACAATGTTATTTTGCAGGTGCCTTGTTTTGGTCATATTTGTTTACATTTTTGTATTTGAATTTGACCTATTTCTAATAGAACTACAATTAAAGGCGCCAAATATGACAGCCCAAAAAGGAGAAGTCAACGGACTAACGGTAAATCCAATTTCGATAGAAATTTTAAAGGCGAAGTTTAGAAATTTTGCGAGCTAACTAATAAAGCATATATATCTGTTTTTATCAAAACTAAAAATATGTCAAACATTAGAAAGTGTCGTGCACCCGGTTGTGATAATAATAATCGTGAAATAAGTGTGTTTTCTTTTCCCCAGGATATCCAGCTGCGGCAAAAATGGAAGGAAAATCTGGGATTGGATCCTGCGGTAGAGCTGCCCCAATTCAACTGCTATCTGTGCTTGGAGCACTTTGAAAAAAGTGCTGTTGGAGTGGGCGGCCGGTTGAGAAGTGGTGCGGTGCCCACCCTCAAAATCGGTAAGTAAATACATACATATAAATATATATTTACATGCATATGTGTATGTAGATATTCGAGCATATTCGTACGCACAAATTTATACACACATTAGGGTGGCTCTTTTTAAACGTGCACTAGTAAAATGCATGTACAATTAGTGTATTATATAAATATATTGATAATTTATTTGAGGTAGTAAATAGTTATATTAATTTTATTCAGGATCCTCATCGGCTCCACCTCATCCTTGGGCAACAGGAAAGAAAGCTCGGACCTGTTGCGTTCCTGATTGTACGGACGGCCGAAGAAGGATTTTTTACGAATTTCCTAAAGATGTTGATGTTAGGAATAGTTGGGCTCAAGCCTGCAAAATAAAGATTTCACGCACTGAGAGAGTGTTCATTTGTAAACGCCACTTTAGTACAGAATTCATTAAAGGGGCTAGACTAGTAGACGGGGCCATTCCTTGTTTTTATTTGAATTCAACATCTAGGAGTCGTTCTCCTAGTGTCGATTTCAAAACTGATCAGCCTCCAGTAACTAAAAGTTACCCAGATCAATTGATAGGTGGGGATTTAACTCTTGAAGAGTTTGATAATTATTCCAAATTAGATGAAATTTTGAGGGGAAGTAATGCTCGTAATGAGGAAATCGAGATGGGATTCGAATCCACATTTAATAGGGAACGATATGCTAAGGCAGCTAGGTATTACCAAAGTAATCAACTAAAGTTAAGTAGAAAAATTAAAGAGCTAGAAAAGGAAATAGAAAATTTGAAAATTATAAATTTAAATTTGAAGAATAATTCTATTATTGTAGAAGAATCAGCTAGCAAAGATGCTGTAACTTTTGCTAGACTGATTGTAAGTAAGAGGGCCTTCTACAGCGAGGAAGAAAAGACATTGGCTCAAAATATTAGCTATATGTCTTCAAAAGCTTATAGCTTTATGCGTGAAGAGTTAGGGTTTTTTTTGCCACACAAGAGTTCGCTCTTGCGGTGGCGGCCAATTAGGTATGTAGAGCCAGGGTTTGATGCCAATGTCTTGTCCAATTTAGGGAACATAGTCCAGAATATGTCTGCAACAGAGAGGATATGTATGTTGCTTTGTGATGAGATTCAAATAAAGGCAGACTTAGTATATAATAGCAGGAGGGATTTAATAGATGGATACGTAGATTTTGGAGATGGCCTTAGGGAGAAATATATTGGAGCAAAGTGTTGTTTTTTTATGGTTAAGGGAATTTGCTCCAATTGGAAGTATATTTTTTCATATTTTATTTCTACTAATAGTGGAGTAGGTTCAGATAGGCTTTTATCATTGCTAGATAAAAATATAACAAATTTAAAGAAAATAGGACTTAATGTTAAGGCATTTGTTTGTGACCAGGGCCCTTTCAACATTAGCGTATTCAAAAAGTTAAATATTTCGGAGAGTAAGCCATATTTCTCCCACCACGATACAAACATATACTGTTTGTTCGATTATTGTCACCTCATAAAGTCCATCCGTAACGCTTTTCTTAAATATGATATACAGACTCCTGATGGCATAGCTAGTTTTAAAATTATAGAAAGATTATATAATTTAGATAGGGCTAACCCACATTTCAAAATATGTCCAAAATTGACCGAGGTACATATTTTTCCAAAATTTTTTGAAAAAATGAGTGTTTCTCGCGCCACCCAGTTATTGAGCAATTCTGTAGCAGCAGGGATAGAAATGGCCGCCTCTCAAAATTTATTAGGTTCTGATAATATAGCGGCAAACGCCAAATCAACCCAAATTTTCGTCAAAAAGTTTAACGACTTGTTTGACGACCTAAATTGTAAGCATCTACGCTCGAAAAATCCCCTTGAATATCCGGTTAGAAGGGGGGATACTAGAAAAGTTCAGCGTCTTAAGAAATATATAGATTTTTTACATTCAATTAAGGTGCCAGGTAATGTTAGGTGTGTAGAAGGTTTTGCATTACGATTTCGGCAATGCAAAAACTTTGTTCTGATCTTTTCGATCAATACGAGCAGCTAGACTTCATATTTCTAGGTAAATTAAATCAGGATGCTTTGGAGAATTTTTTTTATAGAATTAGGGCAAGTCAGGGGATAAATACCCATCCCACAGCACACGACGTGCAATATATCGTT